ATCATATGTATTACCTTATTTGGTTGATGTGGTTTTTTCTCTGTTTGGGTGGGTGGAGTAACTCCTTGGGGTGGATCTTTTACTTCCAACTTGTAAATTTCACCTGATTAACATCAATTACATTAATTGTAGTATACACATAATACAAGTAAGATATCCTACCATGATGATAAGTTTCCAAAAATAGCAGCCCCTGGTAAAAGAAATATCCTTACCAGTATCAAAGTCATCAATGGTGACAAGGATTTTGTAGAGGCCTATGTTGCTAGGTGTCCAGTTGGCAACATATGTGCCATCACTGTTACATCTGACCAGCATGTTCTCACTCGGTCGAGGCACGGCAGGGGCCGCATATCTCAGCTCCTCAAACGAGTAGTTCTCATACGCCTGCCAAAAGCACATAAAAGTATTTATTTTTATTCTGTTAATGTCAATTTTTGAAGATCCCTGTCAAAGACTTAAGATTCTAAAATGGTTTACCTTCATCATGCTGATGGCATCTAAGTCTTCTGAGCCTCCTGCTCATCACCAGAGATACCCTGGTCAATGGGGACGGCCTTTACATTAACCCAACCAAAGCAAGTTTAACAGTGAATCAACATAAATGTGATTTGACCATGAAAAGCATCACTGACATGTAGGTACTTACTTTCAAAACCGCCACCTTTTGTAATTTAGAAAATCGGGGCGTTATAACGAATTTGGCGATGAATTGAATTTCCCATCTTTTATAGGAAATAGGAAGTAGAGTTACCGTTCTTAGAAATACCATTTACATGTAGTGTTTCTATTCTTATTATTGCATGTACATGTATATAAAAACATATTTCTATAAGATTTGAAAATACTTCAAGTATTTTTTTTTTATGTAAAATTTCGCTAAAACAAAATGTGCAGTTATGAAATAAATACAAATACATGTGTATGCATGTAAATCTGCACGTCCGATATTAATAAAAAAACATTCTGGGTCGATCGTCGTAACTGATATATAGCCGATGGTACATAAAATGAATTCTTAAATAAATTCATTCTTTATGGCATCATTGTTAATCTAAAAGTTCACAATTTTTACCGTATAATTATTTTAAAGCAAACTTTGCATTGATAAAATCCGAGATCATCAGAATAATATCGTTATCAGTGTTCTTGAACAACGACCGCTTTCCTGCTGAAGCCGTGACTAAATGATTTTATTAATAGAAAACAAAATTATTATAACACTTTACGTTAAATTAATTCTTATTTAATTATTTAATTGCAAATACCTCGCCTGGCTTTGTATGCTTTACAACATGGATAGTGTCATCCAATTAGCCGCGCTTCACTGACCACATGCACCTGTGGCGGTATATCAGATAATTGACACTTGAAAATGGACGTTTGTTTTGAAAACAGGGTGGCAGATGGCGGTATGCGAATTTGCGTTATAAAGAGAATTTTATATAGCAGGAAAAACGTTCTTGGGAAATCATGGCGGTATTGCGAAAATGGCGATGAATCGAATGGCGATAATTCGAGAATTGACTGTATATGAAAATTATCCTACTGTTTTAATTAAACTATCTGGATACTTTCATTAACCTTGCAAACAGAAACATTCTTAAACAGAACATCTGGATAATTGTTTTTAAGCTTCTGTTTGATTTCATTATTTGTATATGTTACACGTTACTAAGGGCGAAACGATTACATGTGTAAACGGCAACGTTTCGATTATATGCTCTAAACGTTTACAGACTGAGTAAACGTTTACACGAAGGTCATTATCAACATCTATCAGAAATAAAGTTTAACACAAACAAATTTTTTATTTTATAATTTACAAAAGATACATCGTCTTTGACCATTTGATAAGTAACAATCTATACCGGAAACAGATTGAATAAAAATATCTAAAATCTGATGCGGTTTAACATATTTAATTCCGATTTCCGAAGTTGCGAATACTAGCGATGTTTTATGACACTTGAAATATAAAACGTGATATATTTTGATTAAATAAATATAATACATTTTTCATAAGTCTTTGAAAAGTGTTTCTAGATTAAAGATCCCTCTTTACAATTCTTTTTATGTCCGGTATGTAGCCAAACAATGCAATGCAATTGGGTGACAATGTAGAAAGTGAATAAGTTTAATGCGCCCTCAAATTTTTTCGTCATAATGACCAACAATGAAATTGTAATAACAACTCATACGTACTTATTTTAAAGTGAAAGAATTGATCATTAAATTCGAGTTTCATGAGTAAGTAGCCATAAAAATCAAACATAAAATATCTCCCGTTTAAACGGTACCATTTCGTATACTGCTATCCGTTTAAATGTTTACAAAATTCAGTAAACGTTTCACCCTTACACGTTACAGCATTAAAATAGACCTTGAGATTAGGTACATGGACCAGCTGTTCATACTGATCCTTGGTTAACACAGTGATTGATCTACAGTAGTTTAAATGTTAGACCATTAAATTACTGTAGGCGTAATTTTTCCATGGAGTCATAATTCCATGGAATCTCAATTTCTGTTTAATCCGCTGTAGAAAAATACGCAGATTTCTTAGACTGTCACTAAATGCCTTACATTTACATTAGGTACACTTGGACAAATTTCTGTGGAAAATTTGTGACTGCGTACATAGCGTAAATTAATACCACGCAGAAAAAAAGTACTTTTACAGTATTACCGACCTTGAGATTAGGTACATGGGACCAGCTGTCCGTACTGATCCTTGGTTAACACAGTGATGAGAGCCGGCCAGCCACAGCGGAGATCTTCCTTACTGTACATCAGCTCACACTGACTGGGATCCAGGTATGAATCGGGCTGTAGCCATCTACAAAATATGTCAGAAATATTGAAAATGCTTCATCATGGTCATCACACAAATGTTAAGGGTAAGTGGGAGGTAGGGTTACATGATCTAAATGTAGTAAATCACAGACAGAAGTAAGCCTTTAAATCTTACCTAGCTAACCGGCCTCCACTAGTGCCTGGATTACAGGCCACAAAGTCCTTCAGGAACGACCTCTCATTGGACTGCCAACAGAAGGGCAGGTTCCCCTCCAGGGCCTGCATGATAGTGGGAGGGTGGGACAGAGCAAAGCCTTTACCCAGCAGTTCTGAATGGGCACTGAATACCTGTGACAAAGTAACAAATGACAATACACTACAAAACATCTTTCAATTGTTTAACATTCTGATTGGGAACACATTCAATAGACCTTATATGCAAATTATTCAGAAAAATGAATTGTAATTGGAAAGCAGAGATCCCTTTAAATACCCTCTTAACTATGCTAAAAATTTGGACCTGTAACATTAGCTTATATACAAAATTAATTGCAAATTATGAACAGTATTCAGTGAAACATTCACTGCATACTTATTTTACACAATCTAATATGACATCTTTTGAGTTGTATTTACCAGTTGGGAACCTTCCTCGATATATTCCATGTCTTCCTCTAATTCTTCTACAGTTACTGAAAGAAAATATTATCACATATATCATAAAGAATATAACACTGGACCATTCTCAGAAACTTTTAGTATGTACAAGTATTTTCATAACATGGCCTTGGTCTACATTTAAATTTTTCCTGCATGGGAACTATGTTTAGTAACATGAATTACAATAAAAAAAATGACCGTTTTTTAAAAAGGTTTAGGAAGTTGTACATGTACATGTAGTTGTAGCATACAGTAATTCATGTATTTGCAGTCTCACTATATTTATCTATTTTACCTGGAGGCAGAGCAACATCTTTCTTGATTAAGGAAGCTGCACACATCCCTCCAAGGTAAGACAACTCTCTTTTCCAGTTGAGTTACACTCTACAATAGAGGCATTCCAAATTGTAGTTCTAATGTTACATTGAAATTTTAAATGTGTACAGTAATGTATTAAATTTCTGAAAAGACATGAAGCCCACAGGAGGGGTAGTTCATGACTGATAACTCCACCTGGATCTAGAGCTCGGAAATCATGTGACAGGAAATTTAGACTGGTTATCATTGTATGGCATAAAATTTGTCTCCTAAATTTTCAGGAGTAAAAAGCTATACCACAAAGAAGCTAAAAATGTTAATTTTTATACTCTATGGATAGAAACATTATATCAAAATGTAAATTTAGACCAACCTCATCTGGTGTAAAATTCCATTCATATCCAACAACTACACACTTAAATCCAAAGAAACAGGACTTGTCATCCTTAACATAATCTGATGCTGTTTCCAAGGAAAAGACTACTTCATGACCTGAAAACAAGAGTGATCATCATTAGCGTTGTTTCATCTATCCAACACTTACATTATAATTAAAGTAATCTTAGTAATCAATAAAGAGTCATTGTTTATCTGACCTGGTAACACTATGGCTGTTTTGGGCCAGTTACTGGAACCATGGAACTTTTTCCACATTGGCCAGTAGTTCTGTGTGTTGAGGCCCTCTTCTGAGGAGGAGTCAGTGGGGATGAAGCTGGATCCCCCACCAGCGGGAATATACAGCTGGAGGGTGTCCTCAGCCTGAGCTGTACCACACTGGGGGTCAAACTCCAACACCATCCACTTAACAGACTCGGGGAATATCACCTGGAGTTATAAAAATACAGGTAAAGTATAAGTCGATGCACATTGAATCTTTCTACTATTTTGGTAACCCAGCATAATTCCAAGCACAGGACTTTCATGAAAGAGAAAAAATGGACAATTGTGGACCCCCTCCTCATCCCCACCCCCCAAAAAGCAGTGGTATTTTCAGATGCATTTTCTAAATCTAAATTAGGTTCTTACAAACTACCTACTTTATAGTTTGAGACAGAAGCTGGTTTGTAGGGGTGGTCACTTTCTACGACAGCATAGTGCTGGGAGGTGGTGCCATTCTCTGAGGTTTCTGGGGCAGGGAGTGGTGCTGGGGACTGGGTGTTTAGTTGAGCCACCTCTGGAAGAATCTCCTGAATTATGCCCAGGATTTGTACAGCTCCCTGAAATGAAAACAATGTACATTCTATTTAGCAAGAGCAAAAATAAAATAAAATGAATCTAAAAAGGAAATCTTGAGTTAAGCTATGGTATAAATGGTAAATACATGTAGTACACATGGTTTTCCATCACTCAAACTTAAAGGGTGGTAATAGTATTTTTGGAGGTCAATATTTCATAATAATGACAAACAAGAGGCCCATGGGCCACATCGCTCACCTGAGCATTAAGGGTAGGAAAAAGTAGAAAATGGCTTTTTATTGTAAAGTTTAAATCCAAAAGTAGTCCCATGACCAATCATGGATTTGCTATTTTTTTAGAAAATGATTTTTAAAGAATTTTCCTATATATATCTTTAAAAACTTTGGTCAGCCATTTTGGCCCCGCCCTACCCCTGGGGGTCATGATTTGAACAAATTTGAATCTACACTACTTGAGCATGCTTCCATATAAATATGATGAATTATGGCTTTGTCATTCTTGAGAAGAAGATGTTTAAAGAATTTTCCTATATATTTCTATGTAAAACTTTGGTCGGCCATTTTGGCCCCGCTCTACCCCCTGAGGGTCATGATTTGAACAAACTTGAAACTACACTACCTGAGCATGCTTCCACATATATATGATGAATTATGGCTTTGTCATTCTTGAGAAGAAGATTTTTAAAGAATTTTCCTATATATTTCTATGTAAAACTTTGGTCGGCCATTTTGGCCCCACCCTACCCCGGGGGGTCATGATTTGAACAAACTTGAATCTACACTACCTGAACATGCTTCCATATAAATATGATGAATTATGGCTTTGTCATTCTTGAGAAGAAGATTTTTAAAGAATTTTCCTATATATTTCTATGTAAAACTTTGGTCGGCCATTTTGGCCCCGCCCTACCCCGGGGGGTCATGATTTGAACAAACTTGAATCTACACTACTTGAGCATGCTCCCATATAAATATGATGAATTATGGCTTTGTCATTCTTGAGAAGAAGATTTTTAAAGAATTTTCCTTTATATTTCTATGTAAAACTTTGGTCGGCCATTTTGGCCCCGCTCTACCCCCTGAGGGTCATGATTTGAACAAACTTGAAACTACACTACCTGAGCATGCTTCCACATATATATGATGAATTATGGCTTTGTCATTCTTGAGAAGAAGATTTTTAAAGAATTTTCCTATATATTTCTATGTAAAACTTTGGTCGGCCATTTTGGCCCCACCCTACCCCGGGGGGTCATGATTTGAACAAACTTGAATCTACACTACCTGAACATGCTTCCATATAAATATGATGAATTATGGCTTTGTCATTCTTGAGAAGAAGATTTTTAAAGAATTTTCCTATATATTTCTATGTAAAACTTTGGTCGGCCATTTTGGCCCCGCCCTACCCCGGGGGGTCATGATTTGAACAAACTTGAATCTACACTACTTGAGCATGCTCCCATATAAATATGATGAATTATGGCTTTGTCATTCTTGAGAAGAAGATTTTTAAAGAATTTTCCTTTATATTTCTATGTAAAACTTTGGTCGGCCATTTTGGCCCCGCCCTACCCCCCGGGGTCATGATTTGAACAAACTTGAAACTACACTACCTGAGGATGTTTCCCCATAAGTTTTATCTTTCCTGGCACAGTGGTTCTTGAGAAGAAGATTTTTAAAATATGCCACTAAATTTTCATTAATTCCCAATTATCTCCCCTTGAATGAGGGCGTGGCCCTTCATTTGAACAAACTTGAATCCCCTTCACCCAAGGATACTTTGTGGCAAGTTTGGTTGAAACTGACCAGCGGTTCTTGAGAAGAAGTCGAAAATGTGAAAAGTTTACAGACAGACAGACAGACAGACAGACGGACAGACGGACGCCGGACAAAATGTGATCAGAAAAGCTCACTTGAGCCTTCGGCTCAGGTGAGCTAAAAACAAATGTTAAGATCAAGAAATACTTGTACATGTATGACTCTTTACTTTATGCAAATTTTATTCATTTTCTATTGAATAATCATCCCATCTACCAAAGTACATGTAGTTAAGAAATCACAGGGAATTTACTGTGGTGCAGATAAACTTTACTGTGGCTTTAATATTTCACTATGATAGAACACAGTTTAATGTCACGGCACATACCAGGGATGGGGTAATTGAATAAAGTAATTGTAATTGAGCGTAATTAATTACATTTTTCAAAGTAATTGGAAGTAATTTGTATTTGATTGAGCTTTCAATTACAAGTAATTGAATGTATTTAAATACATTTCAAAAAAGGTCATGTATTTTCAATTACTTTTCAATTATATTTCAATTACTTTTTTTTTCAAAATGAAAGTTTATAATAAAAAAAAGGTGTCTTATACTGATACACAGTCTTTATACAGATGGGTTTATACTACCTATCCCTACTTTTTAAAAATCTAAATTCTACCTATTCCCACTTGCAAATACCAATAGATTGTTTTATAAGATGGTTTATTTGTTTTTACAGTAATTAGACTTTCATTTCCGGAAATATGCATAGCATTTCCAAATTTTTTTTATTTCATTTCCTACATTTTTTGTTTTCATTTCCGACATAATTTCTTTTTCATTTCCAGAATTTACCTGTTCGACAATTCAATGTTTTCTAAGCAAAAGAAAATGGAACTTTAAAAGTATTTATACCAAAATATTAATAAAACTTTTTTTAAAAAACTATACATATATGCATAGATGTAGCACTAAGTCTAGGTAAAAGAGTTCAATGAGCATTAAACTTTTTCACCACATTTAATGTGCACTAAATTAAATGTCAGTGACAGCACCATACTTATGTCCAAGTCACTGATAGATTTACAAAATTGGATTTCAATGATTTATTTATGATTTATTCCTTTAAAATTTTTTTAAGTAAAGTTATCAAATCTGTTACTATAGGTAGTGGTACTACATATGTATTTGAAAAATGTCGGAAAGGAAAACAAAAAAATGTCTTTTAAAGTAATTGACCCCAAGCCTGGCACATACTACAGTGTAGTATTAAAAGGGCTGAAGGGGAACTACTGTAACAGTAAAAGTCCTACCCTAGGATCCTGAGAAGCTACTGGTCCAATGTATGCCAGAATCAATGGCAGCAGGGAACAAAAGATGTCTGCTACCCCTAACACTTCTACTGCATAACCTGGAAGTAAAATGAGATTCTATACATAGTTTTCATTAAATATAAACCTGATTCTCTTTTATTAACTCAGACAAGATACACATCACAGTGTCTACTGGTGTAAAAGAGTCAAATTACTCACCCTCAGCAGCAAACTGGGCCCTCCTGAGGACATCTGTAGCCACTCTACAAATGGCACTCACTATGTCAATAGCATTCTTACGAGCCTGAAGCTCAGCCAGGGATTTATTGCTCTGGTAATTCTCTCCTTCTTTGTGGGGCACTGAAAAAATTAACCATTCTTACTCAGTATATCCTGATCCTGAATAAATGTCTCATATTTTACTTACAAGTACATGTACTTAACAAAAGGCTCAGTGTCTGCATTATACTGAAATGGCATATTTTGTTGTTTTCACACATGTGCCCACCTGTGGTATAAGAAAGCATGTTTTTGTTGTTTTATATGAGGAACCCACCTGTAGTACAGAATCTGAGGTATCTGGCCTCTCATGTGATTGGTTCCATTAGAACTGAGGGAGCAGGCCTGGAATGTGAAGTTTGTCCCATCTGGACATCTGACCTTTGTGACCCCTCCATCACCATTCAGGGTCCGCATACTGCCGTGGTTCTTCAAACGAACAGTGTATTTTACACCCTCCTGCAAAAAGAATTATATATACTGTTAGTTATGTTCCCCAAACGGAGTTTGGGAACATATTGTTTTTACTCGGTTTCTTATTATATCATTAAGGTCTTCCGTCTTCACGGAAAACCTTCTAGTGATTCTATTGTTTCTTATTAGGGCTTTCCACCTTTCTGTGGAAAGACCTCTGATTTTCTTCTGTTTCTTATTAGGTCTTTCCACCTTTCTGTGGAAAGACCTCTTGAAATGCTTCTGTTTATTATTAGGTCTTTCCACCTTTCCGTGGAAAGACCTATTGGTATTCTTCTGTTTCTTATTCTTCTTATTTTTCCGCCGTGTGATTTTGAGTTTCAAGATGTATCGAAAAGATTTATAGTCCATAAGAATGTACTTTGTAAAAGATTATTGCAGTTGACCCTGCGTAAATGAACCTTGATCCCTTTAAGAGTTACGACCCCTTTCGCAAGAAATGCTTGTTATTGCTACTCCTCTGAAACCGTAAACCGTAAAGGTATGAAACCTTCACCAATGTCTTTGACTAATTTAGAAGACTCTTCAATCTATTCATTGCGAAAGCATTCTTTGACCCCTTCAATGAGTTATTGCCCCTGAAACTTTATGTATTTTAGGAATAATTGAAAATTTTCAAAATAAGAAGTCGTAGAGACATGGGACCAACTGCATAAGATTCATTGACCTTTGACCTTAAAATTTGTGTAAAGGTCAAAGGTCAAGGTCATTTCAAAAATGAGAAATTTAGCTCTTTTTATATCTCTTTTGTCTTTCAACATATACTTAATGTCTATGCATCATTGATATGCACTCTTAAAACTATTGACTGGATTTCATTCTTGTCCCCTAAGATTTACTCCTTTATAAGTTATTGCCCCTGGTGAAGAAAACCTTGTTATCGCTACTCCTCCTAAACTATTGACCGTAGAGACACCAAACATTCACTAATGTGTTAAAGATCTTTAGGACTAACTTTACTGCATACATGCAAAAGGATCTGATGACCCCTTATATGAGTTATTGCCCTTTAACTTCTTTGTACTGAATATAAAACCTTATAACTTGAAAACTATAAGTCCTAGAAGCATGGGGTCAATTGCATTGTCACCCGTGACCTTTGACCTTGAAAATTTTTCAAGGTCAAAGGTCAAGGTCATTCCATTTAAAAAAAAATTTTTCTATGTTTTAAGACAATTTTTGTTTCTTTTTCATGGAATTTAATTTTAAGGAGTCAGATATAAAGCAAAGTTCAAAGAAGGTGGAAAGACCTCTTATTGTTCTGTGAACAATAAGTCTCCTAGTTATTATTATTATTTTTCCGTTATCGAAAACTGAACCGAAAGACTTATCGAAGAACTTCGCAGTTCATGATACTTGCCATTAAAAGTTATTTCAAAAAAATACCCAACGCATATGACCTATGACCCCTTTCGGAGTTCTCGCCCCTTGTATGTAATTATTTGTTATCGCTACTCCTTCGAAACCGTAAACCGTAGAAATATGAAACCTTCACTAAAGTCTTCGACTCATTTAGTAGACTCTTCAATCTATTCATTGCGAAAGTGTTCGTAGACCCTTTCAATGAGTTATTGCCCCTGAAACTTTTAATTTTAGAAACAATTAAAAATTTTAAAAACGAGAAGTGATAGAGACATGGGACCAACTGCATAAGATTCATTGACTTTTGATCATGAAATTAATGTAAGGGCAAAGGTCAAGGTCATTCCAGAAATGGAAAATTTAGCTCTTTTTATATCTCTTTTGTCTTTTAACATATACTTAATGTCTATGCATCATTAATACTTACTCTTAAAACTGTTTCAAAGATTTCACACTTGTCCCCTAATATTAACCCTTTTAAAAGTTATTGCCCCTTGTGCGAAAAACCTTGTTATCACTACTCCTCAAAAACCGTAGACCGTAGAGACACCAAACCTTCACTAATATCTTAAGGGTCTTTAGGCCTTTATTCACTGTATAAGTGCAAATGGATCTGATGACCCCTTATATGAGTTATTGCCCTTTAAGTTCTTTGTACTTACTATTAAACCTTATAACTTGAAAACTATAAGTCATAGAAGCATGGGGGCAACTGCATTGTGACCCTTGACCTTTGACCTTGAATATTTTTAAGGTCAAAGGTCAAGGTCATTCATTTTTTTTATTTTCATTTTTTCCATGCTTTAAGAGATTTCTGGTTTCTTTTTCATGGAATTTAATTTTTAGGAGTCAGGTATAAAACAAATTTAAAATTCAAAGAAGGTGGAAAGACCTCTTATTGTTCTGTGAACAATAAGTCTCCTAGTTCTTCTTCTTATTTTTCTTCCGCTGTTTATTATTATTATTATTATTATTATTTTTTGTTTCGACATTTACCGAAAAGACTTTTTGTTCATCGTAAAGGTCATTAAAAGTTAGGAACAAATTTGACCCAACGCGTACGAACTATGAGTGCTTTCGAAGTTATTGCCCCTTTCGCAAGAAATGCTTGTTATCGCTACTCCTCCGAAACCGTAAACCGTAGAGGTATGAAACCTTCACCAATGTCTTTGACTAGTTGAGAGGAGTCTGGAATCTATTCATTGAGAAAGTATTCGGTGACTCCTTCGATGAGTTATTGCCCCTGAAAGTCTTAAGGCTTACAAGAAAAAATAAAAACTTTTAAAGGACAGGTGGTCTTTTGATCTTTGACCTTGAAAAGTAGGTCAAGGTCAAAAGTCAAGGTCATAAGAAAACTAGAGAAATTGTCATTTAAAGCTAAAAATCCAAGTGACCTTGACCTTTGACTTTGAAATTTGACATTGACCTTGACCCTTACTCAAAAGGTAATAAAGAAATATTCATTACCTTTATCTTGATTCAGCTTCAAGTGTTAATATAAAGTTTACCTCTCTCTCTTTCTCTCTTGTGATGACCTTGACCTTTGACCTTGATAAATGACCTTGACCTTTGACCCCATTGACCCAAAGGTCACAATCAAGCTAAAGGTCGTGGAGGTATTTACAACCATCACTCTAACAAATGCTTATAAAATACACCCCCGCCCTATAAAAAAAAAAAAAAGCAACACCATCTTAGAGAAAATGTCTACAAGTCAAATGAAACGAAATATCGGCATAAGATTCGTAATAAAAGGAAGAAGAGACCTGAAAGAAAGTGTCCTGAGAGTTTTAAGATGAGTCTCTAAAGTATTTTGAAATTCTAGTGAATATCGGCAAAATCTGCATTTTTTTTCTGTCTGAAATTTAGTTATTGCTGAGCATAAAAATTAATTAAGGCTCGTATTGGCTATTTCTGCAATTATTGTTAATATCATTCGATTGTCCTGCTCTATTACGACATTTTAATACCAAGTATTCTTGCTTTCTTAGGTGTATGGAATTTATTTTAATTTTATAAAGATTTAAATATGAATCCACTGAATCTCGGAAACAGCGATTTTTCATATCAAATAAATTTCCACGCAATTTAGATAGGTTAAATCAATTGCAGATACCCCAGCTTTATACACTATAGTGTAGAAAAAATGTCCATGACTCACTCACTCACTGTTTTTCCGGGATTTTGAATTTCCTCTGCAACTGACCACGTGTATTACTTTCGCTTTTACGACTCTGTATATGCTAAGTAACATTGCTTCACTGCAAATGTGTCCCATAATTATTCTAATCATTTTCCTACATACAATATCAAATCAAACCGGCAAGATCTCAGTTTTTTAAGAAATTTGACCGGGACTTTCCTACGAAACTACTGGTATCCTCTTCCACCTTTAAAAAATATTAGTTTACAAATTACGCTTACTTGTGTACAACTTGATGGCTCAATGGTTAGCGTGTCCGACTTACAAACTAAGGGATGTAGGTTCGAGCCCAGTTCGAGGAACTTTTTTTTTTTTTTTTTTTTTTTTAACAAATCAAATTTTTATTTTTTTAAAAAAAAAAAAAAAAAAAAGAAGAAGGTGGAAAGACCTTCTAATTGTTCAGTGAACAATTAGTCTACTAGTTATTATTATTCTTTTTTCTTCTGACCAAATTTTGTGCAGGCGATTTCTCGTAAACTATTCGGTAGATTTCAATGAAATTTTCAGGAATTAAAGATCATTATATGAATTTTATATAAAATTCTGTTCTTTGGAATATTCGGTTCCAGTGCCAAGTTATGGGCAATTTCCTGATTTTAAAATGGATTTTTGTCTTCGAATGTTCTCGAAAATGGTTCAAGATATTCACTGGAGACTTATTAGAGATGATAGATCATAAGTTACAGATGTGCAATTTTGCCTTCGTTTGCGTCGTTAGTGCTTCCGGTCGCTACAGTAACCGAATTAAAAATGTGCAGTTTTTAACTTTTTTTTGTTTTTCAACATTTCTCTTTGATAAAATTAATGTTAATGGAGACCCTACTAGAAAAGCCTAATATATAATTCATTTTAGAATTGATCAATCAAAACACTAGATATTCGCATTGAAAAATCTGAAGCGGGTACAAGATGGCGGCTGTCTCCGTAAACTCCGCCATTAGGCAAGTCAGGGTCTAGAAGGTCAGCCAAGCGTTTGGATGAAAGAAACTTCTACCATAAAGATCAATGACATGTAAAGGATTCATTGGATTGTCACATCGCAATTACGTTGCATTTCTGTTTCAGATTATAGTTTTAATCCGAGGTATTCTCAAAAGTCTATTAGAATTGCTTTTGTCTGAATATTTTTGTAATAAATGCAAGTTTATAACATAAATAGTATCTGATTCCTTGACCGTTGGAGTGCTAGAGATTTTTTCAGCAAAACATTCAAGTCTTTTCATGAATCTGTAACTAATCGGAAGAGTCCACTTTGGGGGTAAACAGGATACAAAATTCGTGGAAAATTTTACTGAGTTCACTGCTTTAATGTCATTTGTCCATATACGATATTATATATTTGTACAATGTGATAAATGTACTTTCTAAAGCTTAAAATTCCGGTGTTAAGAACATATATTTCTAAATTTTACTGAAGCTA